GTCAACGCCCCTGACGACGACGAGGAAGGAAAGTTGGAGCCCAAAGCGGCCAAAGACGCATCTCTGGAGGTGGAAGGACGATTGGAGAAAAGAGGAGAGGACCTGGAGCTAGCTGCCGACGCGCGTATCACACCGGTGATGAGAGCAGAGTTTACCGACTCTATTTTTTGTCCGCAAAAACACGGCATCCCGACGGTCCTATTGGGTGGAACAACCGGCGACGAGTCAAAGTCGGCCACCAATGCCGACACGTTCCCTACAACCTCAGGAACGTCATCCGTAGTCTCAATGGGGATGAACATGCCAGGAGTTGCAGAATTGAATCTACAAAAATCGCCTCTGTTTGTGGGAAAGAACGGCGACGAAGACCCTCTATTGGGTGGAGCAACCCAGCTCGATTCGAGTCAAACAAACAATGCCGAATCGTTCAATGAGGCCCAAGAAACGCGTAGCATCCCTCAATTTGATTCGAAGAGGGCTGAGTCGAAAACCCCCAAATACGAATCGGAAATTCTGGGCTTCGAAAATTCGAAATTGATCGACGACGGGAAAGGGGAAATCGACAAATTGACGGCAACGGTAATGAATCGAGGTATGGGACAGGTCTATAGCTTCAATTGGAAGCTTTTCGAAGTGCCTGGGAGTATAGGTGTCAAAACATAGCCCGACCCGATTAACCCGCCCGATCAACCCGACCCGCAACCCGACCACAACCCGAATTGACTAAAAGTCAACAACCCGCAACCCGATTGACCCGCAACCCAACTAACCCGCAAGACGACTGACCCGCAACCCGATTAACCCGCAACCCGACTGGCCCGCAACCCGATTAACCCGAACCCGATTGACCCTAACCCGACTAACCCGTAACCCGACCGACTCAACCCGAACTTCATCTAATCCACTTGAATAATTATTATAATATACAATACATAATTTTTCAAAATAAAGTTTTTCATTCCAAACTTAAGTAAAATTATTTTTTTCATTTCGTATAGGGAATTTAAAAAATATGAAACTCACTTGATATTATGTATTTTAAGAAAATTACAAAAATTGAAACATGAATGTCACTTGAACACTAAGTTCTTTAACAAAATTAAAAAAGTAAATATAAAATATAAAATCAGCATAATGTCAATATTAATAATGAAGAATTAATAATTAAAATCATGGACAATATTAATATAATATATAAATTAAACTTTTGGTTAACTTAACTATTCAATAAAATTATTAATTAAATATAAATAAAGTAATGTAATGTATTTGATGTTTTTAAAAGAATAGGGAAATTTTGGTGTATTCAACTTCTTGGGAAGAGAAAGAAGAGGGAAATTTGGTACTTTGAATTTTTAGAAAAGAAACAAGTGGTATTTTGGTGGTTTTGATTTGTGGGAAGCAAGGTTGTCAAACCGCGGGTCGACCCGGACCCGGACGAGCTAGTGGGTCATGGGTCAATGGGTCACCTGGTTTAGCCCGGAAATATGAAAAATGTAATTATATTATACTTATGCTCAATCCAACGTAAAGAAATGCAACACTACTTCAACTCCAACACACTTAAATAACATCAACTTAAATTCAACATAGTGAAAATTCAACAACACTTAAATCATTCACAAAACATCACATACAGTGGCGGAGCCACTTGGAGAGGAGGGGGGTGCACCCCCCTTGGTTTGGAGAATTTTTTTTCGAGTAGGGGTATATACAAATTCGAACCAGTGATCATTCAGTTGCAAGAAGAATTTCTTACCATCTCAACCTAGTAAGTTTTGTTATGCAATGCACTTTCGTCTTTATTTATAGTAATAAATTGTTATCTTTTGTTTAAACTCACTCATTTCTTTTGTAGCTCTACAATAGAGAAATTTCTTGCCTTTTGTTTAACCAAAATCGAAAGTGATGAAGTACCAATTGAAGGAAACAAATTTGGTGTTTTCAATTTTTTGGTTTTTCAAAATTTTAGCCTTTGAAATATGAATCTTTAACTTTTATATGGAGGGCATGATTAGTTAAATTTATTCTTATATGCTTTGAAGGCTAATATATATGTAATTGTTTATGGGATAATAAATAAATTAACCATTAGTTACAACAATTATACTAAACTTGATAAGTAATCTTTGATGGTTCGTTGTTTAGGGTATAAAGTTTATGGTTAGAGTATAGGGTATAAGGTACAGATGGTTTAGGGCGTATATGGTTAGGGTATAAGATATTGATGGTTTTGACGGTTCTAAGTTTTTTATTAACATATATGTTCACTTGAAGTCATTTGAAGTCTTTAACAGTAGGAGATCCTTTTTTAATTTATGTTTATGGTACGTGGTTAGGGTACAATGTATGTGGTGTAGAGTATAGGATATATGGTTAGGATATATCAATTAGCAAATATCACTTTTTACCTATGTTTTGAAAATCAAAGTATGAATTTCACTTTTAAATTAACTATACTAGCAAAATCACAACTCAATGACATATGGTTAGGGTATAGGGTATATGACATGTGGTTAGTGTATAATGTATTGATGGTTTAGGCCTTAGGGTATACAATCAACAACATATACTAACTTAATATTGTTGATTGAGGGTAAGGCTAAGTGTATAGGATATATGTTATTGAGTAAGTTATGATTGAAGTCACAATAATTTTACTAAATTTGATAGTTAATATTTAATGGTTCAATTTTTAGGATAATTCGAACAATTTTACAAATAACTCGTTTGGCAATAGTTTACTGAAGTTATTTTGGCAATGAGTTATTTCGAAATAACTCTTTTATCACTTCGCTTTTGCCAAATTCCACACGCCAAATACTAGATTTGCATGGTTATACTAAACAAGATATTTTAATCCAATTACTACTGAATTAATACTAAAATATCAAGTAAACAATTAATGGTGTCTTTTGGTTGCAAATATTGATATCACCATTACTATTAGCTAGTGTACTTTACCAATTATGATTAATTACATAACAAGTTTGCAAGTCATACAAATTGATTTAACATTTTGACTAGTTTTTTCAAACAAATTAAGTATATATATATATATACACGAACACTACAAAAAAAAATATGATTTGCGTCGTTTGCTTTGTGTCAGTTCATTTAACCGACACAAATATAAGAATTCGTGTCGGTGATTGGAGTCGTTTAATTAAACGACACTAATTTTTTTAGATTTGTGTTGGTTCAACCTATGAGCGACACAAATCTCAAACTATTTACGTCGGTTTAGATTTTTGTCAGTTGGAACCGACAGATATTTCGTTACTTGATTCGGTTTCCAACGCCACAGTTAAAATTAATTTAACAAATTTTTTGGCTCCTTAAATCTGTGGCGCTCAGCTCTCTACCTCAATTATTTGGCTCCTTAAAAATTTCAAAGGTCCGCCCAACCATCAATTTTCATTTTCAATTGCCCGCCCAAATGAAAAAATTTCACAACCCCTCTTTGGGTCTTCCTTCTCCTTTATTATTTGGATTCAACCTTCACCCTTCTTTTTAATCAAATATATTCTTAGTCCAGGGAGCAGAGACCCAAAGTGGCCGCTACAAAATCAAATCTCGCTTCTTTTTGTTTTTCTTTCTCAAACCAGACCGACGACCGGCCAGACTTGATGTGCCCTGTCTCAATTTGAACGGAGCAGGGGAGCGGGACACCGGCGTCGATTTGCCCTGACTTAGCCTTCAACTCGACAACTCGATAAGTGACTCCAGCGGCGGGGATGACTACCGGAGAAGCGGCGGTGATGGCGACGTGTTGGTGAAAAGCGATAGGGGCGACTGAGTTTGACGAGTTTTGAATTTCTGGGTTTGGAAGTTCCAATTCTGGGTTTGGAGAGTAGAACGAGCAACACTGATTGCTGGGTTTGCAAGGATATTTTTGGGTTTCAATTTTTGTTTGTTTTGGCAGATTCAATTGATGTGTTTGGGGATTCCAATTCGCGAGTTATTTATACGAAGATGGGAATGGAATGATTACTGTTTAGATTATGTTAATACCTTGTTTGGATGATTTTGCATTTAATTGATCTGTGTAGCGGAGGGAAGACCAGCCGAATCGACGGTAGCAACACAGATCTGAGTTTGGTTTTTTTAATTATTAGAGTCAGTTATTTTTTTGGGTGAACTGACACAAATATCACATTTAATTTTGGAATACTTTTTATGATAAATAATTAATGGCAAAAATCGATTAACGTGAAAACAATTAGTGTCGGTAGAATCGACATAAAGTAACCGACTCAAATAATTTGTGTCGGTTAATGCATGTTTTCTTGTAGTGGAGGTAGAAATAAATTGGTTAAAAAGTTGAGAAAAATATTTTAAATTAGTGTAATAAAATGTGTAAGTTGGTAACGAATAATGAGTAAGTTACCAGATGTGCAGACCCGAACAACCCGAAACCCGATCCGCCCGCAACCCGTCCGACCCAAAACCCGATGAACCCGCAACCCGATTTGCCCGCAACCCGATCGAACCCGAACCCGATGAACCCGCAACCCGACTAACCCGCAACCCGTTTGAACCCGAACCCAATGAACTCGAACCCGATGAACCCGCAACCCGACTAACCCACAACCCGTTTGAACCCGAACCCGATTGAACCCAGCCCGAACCCGCCCGATTGACACCTATACCTGGGAGAAGTGAATTGAGTTGGAGATCCTTGAAACGAAAACCCCAAATTTCATCGAATGGATTGATGTTCGTTGTAACTGTCCGACGAACTAGGAGTTGCTCCGATCAGTTTCAGGCAGTGTTGTCAAAACCGAGCCGAGCCGGCCGGCCGGACCGGTAAAACCATCACCCGACCACCAGCCCGACTCGGTACACTCAATTAACCGCAGCGGCTGGGAAGGTCGGTTTTTGACCGGTCGGAGCGGTTAATCTATCTAGCCGCTCGAACCGCCCGACCGGTTTTTAACACATGAACCGTCCGACTCGAAGGCAGCACCGCAGCAGCTCTCATTGTCACCTTCGGTGAGATGCTGATCGACTTCGTCCCCACCGTTTCCAGAGTCTCCCTCGCCGAGGCTCCCGGCTTCCTCAAGGCCCCCGGCGGCGCCCCGCCAACGTCACGATCGCGGTCGCCAGGCTCGGCGGCAAGGCCGTTTTCGTCGGGAAGCTCGGCGACGACGAGTTCGGGCACATGCTGGCCGGGATCTTGAAGGAGAACGGCGTGATCGGGGATGGAATCAACTTCGACAAGGGGGCCAGGACTGCTCTGGCGTTCGTCACTCTGAAGGCCGACGGCGATCGCGAGTTTGTGTTCTACCGGAATCCCAGCGCCGACATGCTCCTACAGCCGGAGGAGCTCAATCTCGAGCTCATTAGATTTGTAAGAAGAAGAAGAAGGAAAGGGAAAGGGGGAAGAATGGGGCGACGGTAGCAGGGAATGGGGAAGGAAAGGGAAAAGGGGAAGAGTGGGGCGGCGGTAGCAGGGAATGGGGTAGGGTTTTGTGGGTAAATATATAAAATGTAAAATTACTAATTGGTATATGAAGGGTAAATTTCATTTTAGCCATTAAATTACTATTTTATATATCATCTATTTATGATATTATCATTTATAAGGTACCGGTTCTCTAACGGCTTTTTAACGGTCTAATAGCGGTTAGACCACTAAAGTGCGAGCCGTTCCCGCTACCGGGTCAAACTCCGGTTCGGTTTTGACAGCATTGGTTTCAGGCAAACTTGGTTATCAGTAGAGGTCTATTACAACTCCAGCAAGCATTTCCAAGAACACTTCCAGCGTCAATCCCTCTGAAACAGATTGAAGAAGGATTTGAAGGTGTCAATTTTATGCCGAAAGGGATGACTGAGCAGCCCTATTTCGATCCGATTTGGGATCAATTTTGTGATAATTTTGACACGAAGCAGCAACAAGCTTTGAGGTCAAAGCTTTTTGAAGAGGGGAAGCCTGATATGATTCCAAATCGGTTAATCAACGAGCCAAAATTACTTGATGAAGAAGGTAACGAAGTTGGGAAGAAGAAGGGCAGAATTTGGCTAAGTCAAAATCCGTGTTCAGGGTACATACTTTGGAGGCATGGTTCTCTCAATTGGCTTGGTGGAAATTCAAGTTTAAGGGTTTGTTTTACAGATAAAGTTACCATGTTTCCAATGGTATGCTTTGTGGATCCATATAATGTCATTAAGGTTGTTTTCCAAGGCCTCAAAGTTGCTACATCAAAACTGGAAAACTGCCAGAAAATTACTAAGGCAGAAAACTGTTCTGTGAAGCCTACTTTGGAGCTCGATTCGAGGAGTATGCATCTGATTCAAGTCCAAAAGCTTCCTCAGTATGAAACTAGGTATGTTTGTGAACAAAGGGAAGGAATTGGATGAAGAATTGGAGCTCAAGAAGGCCTCGAACGAAAGGCGTGAAGTTAGTACGAAAGCTGCATTTTGACTGTTTGCTGGCAGCTTACTTGTGCTTCAAGAAAGGAAGTTTAAATCCGAATTTTGTGTCCTTTTTAGAGTAGAATTTTACCTTATTTGTTTCCTTGTTCATCTAGGTTTGTATTAGGTTTTCTTGGCTATAAATAGCCCTCTATTTTCGTTGTAAAATTCAGAGTTGATTAATCGAAAAGAAACAGCTTGGTTTGTTCAAGTTTGCGAACTTGTTTTGGGTTTGGTGGATTCCAAACTTGCTGAGCTTGTGTATCGATTGAATAGTCACTTCAATCGTGGTCGAGCAACTACCCTTTTATACCAATCGAGCTATCCACAGGTGTGGATTTGTCCTTTTGGTTCCGTTTTATCCAAGTTCGTATTAAGAACGCTTCGTTCTTGATTCGAGCTCAATCGATTCTTCGATTGAGTCGTTAGTTGCGTGACTTTGATAACATACACCCTCCCAGGGGCGTATCAGGTTATAGGTATAAAATGCCCCTCTACTTTGCTTATTTCTCAAACATGTCCCTCTATTATGAATCACATCAAATTTACCCTTCTACAATTAAATCCTTGTCAAACATACCCCTACATCTACTTTTCCGTCCATAACCGTTATCCTCGGTCCAACCAGATTATGGCCCGTCGAAATTAGATCCGGACATGAATAGGCAGCCGATTAAACAAGAACAGAAGATCCGGGCCGTAATTGGGCGAGAAAAAGAAAAATCAAAAGATTCCCCTAACAAAATTACGAGACCCAAGCCCATTAGCTAGTTGGCCCATATGTCCAGCACAACTTAAAATGATCTTTTGCAGAAAAGCACAAGTCCATCAATACCAACGGCCTCTTCAAACTATCTCCTGCTTGAGCCATCGATCTTCTTCCCCAGAGCGGCGGCAGGGACCCCCTTTTTTCGCTTCTCCCACCGCCCAGGCGCCCACTGCTGCCTCCTTCCTCTTAGCCTCCTCCCTCCGGCGGCTTAAGTTTTTCCCATATCCTTTTAGTCCCTCCCGCTTTCCTCGAGTCCTCAGACAATCAAAATTTTCTACAATTTTCACAACCTTTTGCCCCCTCCCTACTGGTGATCAATGGAGACCGTTGCAGCACCAATCCCTGATTTCGGCGCTGCTCCACCCGAGCATAACCCTAACCCGGCCGAAGTCGAGGTTTTGAGGCTCCGCGTCGACGAAGTCGTCCAGAAGGTCGATAAGGTAAACCATCTATTCTGAAGTTCCCATCTTTTGGCTTCCGTTTTCTCCGAAAGAGCTGAGCTTTTAATGTGGGAATTTACGGGAATGTCTATTGTTCAAAGCTGGAGGAGAAAGTGAACGAGGTGGAACAGTTCTATACGAACTTGAGCAAGAAGCAGCAGCAGCAAACGGGTTCGAAAGGGAGTTCGGTCGTGAAAGAGAAAGAGAAGGAAAAGCAGGTTCTTAGCATTAGGAAGCAGCAGCAAGACGCTTCCAAGCGGGAAGCTGCGGCTGCTAAGAGAATGCAGGAGCTTATGCGTCAATTTGGAACCGTTCTTAAGCAGGTAGATTGTAATTTTGCTTCCGATTGTTCATGTTTCCTTTGATGTTCGGGTATTTGGGATTAAGGTTTGGATGTTTGAATGCTCTAAAAACTGTTTTCTCGGTGGTCTCTCTCTCAGTTAACGCTGCACAAATGGGCGTGGCCTTTTATGCAACCAGTGGATGTGAAAGGTCTTGGCTTACATGACTACTTTGAGGTGCGAAATCTTTTTGATTTATATTTGATTGTTGTTGTCCTGGTTTCTGGTTATTGCAAGACAGTGCATTTATGTTTTCTGAAGAAGCTTTAATCTGTTATGGATTAGTTTTGAACACATTATGCTGTCCGGTTCTCTACATATGAATCCTCTTACGGACCGTAGCTTATGGATTTTGCTAAAGTCTTGGACGGCTAAAACTTCACTGCTGATGATAGTATCAGTGGCATATTTCATAAAGGTCTTGGAACTGGTAATTTGAACTATCTAATTGCTGTGTGGAAGGATTGGTATTTGTAGCATAAAGTGATTTCCCGCTGGACAAACTTCAAGTGCGGAATGACTGAAAGTTTGCAATGTTTCACATGTTTACTTTGAGTTGTTGTGTATATCTGTCCAGTACTTGCATCGACATGAAGCAACATGTAAAGTATTCAAATTTTCACTCTTTTACCAAAAGAGGCAGGTCACCTGATGGTTGAAATTGCTTGTTAGGGGAAATGACTGATTCCTCTTTGTTGGCCCATTCTTGCCAAAGTTTATGCAAGCGAGTTTACATGTACTGAATTGTGAATTACTTAACCCCAGTATATCTGCTGCTTAGCATGTATGCACTTGTGGGTTACCTTGACTATATTGTGATTAGCAACTCTAGCTCTGAGGTTCTTTTAAGTAATCCCTTGTGGTTAACCTTGAATATTTTGCCTTCTTTATTGGGTCGATTGATTTGATTCATGTGGCATTCACTAGGTCATTGACAAACCGATGGACTTCAGTACGATAAAAAATCAGATGGAAGCCAAGGATGGTACTGGTTATAAGAATGTCAGGGAGATATGTGCGGATGTGAGGTTGGTTTTCAAGAATGCAATGAAATATAATGAAGAAAGGAGTGATGTTCATGTCATGGCAAAAACTTTGATGGACAAGTTTGAAGAGAAATGGTTGCAATTTCTTCCAAAAGTCACCGAAGAGGTAATGTTCTGTCGAGCTACCTTAGTCTATGATTTCGGATCCTGATCCAGCTTTTCCAAAATTAATGACTTTTGCTTCTAGTTTCTGCACCACTATTAACACCTAGCTCTTTTACTCATAGGAGAGAAGGAGAGAAGAGGAGGAAGCTGAGGCTCAGTTGGACATGCAGCTCGCCCAGGAGGCTGCTCATGCTAAAATCACTAGAGATTTGAGCAATGAGGTAATACTGTAATTGCATTGTGCAGTGATATAATTTTAAGAAGCCAAAGGATCCCATCGTATGGGATTGGTATGTGAAGAGATTAAAATTACTGACCCGCTCTATTACTTTCAGCTTTATGAACTTGAAATGCATCTTGACGAGCTTAGAGAAATGGTTGTTCAAAACTGCAGGTTTGTCATACTCTATTTTATACTCTATTCTGATCAATATCAGTAAACCCAGATTCGTTTTGGCATAGTTATGATTTGCGAATCGTTTCCCCCGTTCCACATTCCTTATAACATCCACATTATGTTACAACCTCATGCTTAACAACACAACATTCCACATTCCTTATAACATAAGCATATGTTAGAACCTCTTGCTTAACAACACATACTATTCATGTTCTTAATCTAACTATGTTTGGTGCATCGTGTCTCTTTCTTTGAGGAATTCATCTCTTGGTTACTTAGCAATGGGTAGCCGCAAAATTGTTTCATATGACCAAGTTGCTAACCTTGATTTATATAGTCAAAAGGAAGATCTGTTAGTTGACATTGTATTTTATTTATTTAACATCTGTAGAACTGGCCATCCATTTGTCTGCTGTAGCATGCTAATTAACTTGATATATCTTCTCCTGCTGCAGAAAATGGTCCACTGAAGATAAAAGAAAGCTAGGGGCAGCCCTAACAAGATTGTCTCCTGAAGATCTCACAAAAGCACTGGAGATCGTTGCTCAAAATAACCCAGAATTCCAAGCAACAGCCGAGGAAGTGGACCTGGACATTGATGCACAGGTCATTATTAACCATATTTAATAGTATTTTTTTCAGGTTACCCCGGCGATTTAACAGTA